AAAGTTTTCTTAAAGTACTACGTTGTTCTAAAAGCCCAGAGCGGGGCTACTAAACCATGGGATACCCAGTCCTATGCCATCCTGATTGGGGATTTGGCAGTTGGGGTCCACTGAGTTTTACACTGGCTGATTTTCAGAAGTAAATCCCCAAGCTTTTCTTCCTGTTCCATGTTAGGCTACAATCTCGGTCCAAACTTGTTCAGCATCTGAGCACTCCCAAGCGTCCACTGGCAGGCGGGTACTAGCCGCCTAGGAAGTGCATTGCTCCGGAGCTGATCCCGGGCATCCTGCATGGAAGGGTGAGTCCCACCACTGTAACATAGCTATCACTTAAGCCGTATGGTCCGAACTTCCTTTGCTTCCCTCCCACACTCTTTTGAACATGCTTCCAGAGCCAATAGGTAGAGCTAGAGGAGAAAATGGGTCCTGTAAAACACGCGATCTTACTTATTAGAAAAATATTGGGGATTAAAGAGGTTGTAGACACTTGAGTTCAGGTTTTGTTTTTTGTTTTTTTAAAGGGGTTATAGTCCCCAAGCTGACATTAATGAAATCACATAACCAAAATGAATTTCTAAAAGTAAACAAAAATAGTTTTGCATCTATTGCTATTAAGAATACTTTGCACACAAAAAAATAAGAATACTTTGCATCTATCAAAAGATATAGCGTGGGGTCTTAAAGGCTTTTAAAGGTAAACAAGCGGCCATATAACTGAGAAGCAACAAAGCCCACATGGAAGAAGCACACCAGCCTGTGTGATCACGAGGTGTGGAAGGGATCAGGTATCAGGCATCAGAGAACAAAAAAATCATATCATTGTGAGGGGGAGTATGGAGTGGGGACCCAATGCCCATCTGTAGGCAACTGGACATCCCCTTACAGAAGGCTCACAGGGAGGAGACAAGCCAGTCAGGGTGCAGTGTAGCAGCGATGAAACATACAACTTTCCTCTAGTTCCTAAATGCTTCTCTCCCCGTCCCCCATCATGATCCCAATTCTACCTTACAAGTCTGGCTAGACCAGAGGATGTACACTGGTACAGATAGCATCTGGAAACACAGGGAATCCAGGGCAGATGAACCCTGCAGGACCAATGCTGAGAATGGCTATACCGGGAGGGTGGAGGGAAGGTGGGGTAGAAAGGGGGAACCAATTACAAGTATTCACATATATGCCCCCTCCCTGAGGGACGGACAACAGAAAAGTAGGTGAAGGGAGATGTCGGACAGTGTAAGACATGACAAAATAATAATAATTTATAAATTATCAAGGGTTCATGAAGGAGGGGAGCGGGGAGGGAGGGAGGGAAAAAATGAGGAGCTGATACCAAGGGCTCAAGTACAAAGCAAATGTTTTGAGAATGATGAGGGCAACAAATGTACAAATGTGCTTGACACAATGGATTGTATGTATGGATTATGGTAAGAGTTGTACAAGCCCCCAATAAAATTATCTTTAAAAAAAAAAAAAAGGAATACTTTGCACAAATAAGGAGAAAATCAAGATGTTCTTAGAAATATAAATCCTGTCCAGATATATTAATGATTATTGCAGTGAACAGAAAAGTGGACGTGTTCATTAGGTTATAAGAAGGAAGCAGCTGTTGGATTATAAACAGAGCTGCAGGTACATCACTACGCATAACTATGTCAGATGTCTATTCAAAGGGGAGATTAGCAACAGGGGGAAAAGCAGTAAGTAACCGATTCTGAATGAAAAATAAGCCCACTACCAAACAGAAGCCTCCGCAGCAGGTGGTCCCCAGGTCTTTGATGTGCCTTTTTGGATCATGTTAGATAAAAGGTTCTGCTCTGCCTAAACACTTTCCCCTAAATAGATGAATAATCAGAAATATAAACCTGAGTTGTGAATCTATTCTCTTATTCAGAAACCCACACCATAGAATTTCTTACAAAGTAGGGCTTTGGGACAGAGAAGAATTACCCCTGGCAGATTTCTGAGGCCGCAAATCTTCACAGGAGCAAAAAATCTCTTTTCTGTCCCTTGGAAGTGGTGGCGATAAGCTTCTTTAATTGTCATGTGTCCTTCAAGAAAATCTACCTAGAGTACACCTTCGATAGCAGAAGGCCTGAGACTACGATCCTTACGAACTCGGCTCAGTTGAACTTGGCTCAGTTTTCAGCCAAACAACAGACAGACCCAGAAGGAAAACTATGAATCAATAACTAGAAGGAAGGGGGCTTACTGTAAACAACAACAACACACAATTTCTATCACATTGAGTTTCCTAAACATTTAGTACAGTATATCCAATGGCCTTTCAGACCATTCTAGAGGTACAAAGGGCTCTCTTGCAGATTTTATCATCAGAGTGTTACAATGAACGCATTGAAACCATTTTTAAACAAAAATATCAAAATGTGAAGTTCCCCTACATCTCCTCCATCAAGTGTGTACACTTCTGAAGGTGGAGTTTCCATCTCTTTCCTTAAGAACGCTGTGCTCAAAAAAAAAAAAAAGAACGCTGTGCTCTTGGATTTACAGCACATCGGGTTTAACTGATGGCAGTTTGGGCATCCTTGAGAGGTTCAAATCATGTTTCTTTTAAATGTTGTCTGAGCTTTGGAAAAAACATCGTCTGAAGAGGCAAGACTTCAGGGCTGTCGAGCAGATGGGATAAGACTTCCTCACCAAATTCTAGGCGAGCCTCTGCTACCCCAGAGTGAGCAGGTACACTGGGAAGCGGGGGGACTCCTGAGTGCAACTGTCCTGGCCTTTCTCTCACCAACGCAGTTTTCATCTTCTGATAACACTTTCATAACTCGAGAACTCACAGCCTACTCCTATGGGTTTCTGGGACTAGAAATCTTTACTTAATCTTTTTATTGGGGGCTCATACAGTTCTTATCACAATCCATACATCCATGCATTGTGTTAAGCACATTTGTACATAGGTTGCCATCATTATTTTCAAAATATTTTCTTTCTACCTGAGCCCTTGGTATCAGCTAATATCCCCCATTCCGACCCTCCCTCCCTCATGAAACCTTGCTAATGTATCATTTTTTTCCATGTCTTACACTGACTGCCGTCCCTTCACCCACTTTTCTGTTGTTCGTCCCCCTGGGAGGCGGTTATATGCCAGTCGTTGTGATTTGTTACTTCCCCCACCTTCCCCTTCTCCTCCTGGTATCGTTACTCTTATTATTGGTTGACTATAAATCTTTACAGGAGCAAAAAGACTCATCATTTTCCCTCGGAGCAGCTGGTAATAGGCTCCTGTAATTGTCATGTGACCTTCGAGAAAATCTATCGAGTTTGCCTTTGGAACCTGAGTCTATGACCCTGGGTCACCCTTGGGTCTGAAACTGAACTCGGCACCCTGTGCTTCAATTTTCAGCCAACCAATAGCCAGGCATGTAAGGGGAAGAATAGCATGGGTGAGGTTACGCACACCTTAGACTAGGCAACTGTTTGAAATAAGGAGGGCAGCTTTACCCAGAGACCAAGTCCGAAGGGGTTAGGAAAGAAGAAGAGATGGAAACAGGGGACATGGAGAGGAAGTAGGATAAGGGATGCCACACTGCAGTGCATGAGCTGACACAAAACATGGATGGACTGTTGACTGTGCAACTGATGACCGTCTCTGTCAACCTTCACTCGGTGAGCAAGACATATTATGGGATCCCAGAAAAATAAAAATGAGTCACCATAACGTTCTGAGTTGACCTCTCTGCCTAGAATTTAACTGGCCCAGCAGATTCCCTCGGAAGACACGGTACTGATAGGACATTATTTGAGGGCGCTATTGAGATGAAGACAATCTATTGCTGACAGAGCTTGTCTGCAGCCATCCACTGAGTGCAGAGACGCGCTTTGTTTGGAATACACCCGGGCAGGTGTGAAGTGAAACCCTAGCAATGACTCTTTTGCCTTACTCTCATATTTGCACCACATTTCAATTGCATAAGAAGATGGCAACTCAAACTGAAAACTGCTTTCACGGAAGCAATCTAAAACTGAGCCTGAAGGTGAAGATGTCGTCCCACTGCAAACCAGCGAAACAAATCGAAGACTCAGTAATATATTACCCCATGTAAAATCTCATGGTCCATTAGCATTAACTACATAAAGGACATTTCACTCCAATAACCCTTCCTTTTACTAATCTAATCACATCAGTAGAGAGAAAAACAAGTGCCTACCATATGGTCTTTCTGTACCAGAAAAGAGCTGTGTTCAATAACAGCATCTGTGCATCTTTATCAACCCTGATGCTGCCCATACTTAAATGAGCATACTGTTCAATCGAAGAAGATGACAGGTCCCGTCGTCACAAGCCAGAAAAGCAAAGAAACCCAGGATCGTTTTTGTGCTAGATGCTAAGCAGGATCAAGATGTGCTGGACCTCATAAAATGTTTATTTTTCCCTCGAAAAATAAAAACGCTAACAAACATCACCAATTTATGGAAAGAAAAAAAGACGTCTTTAGATACAAGTAGTCCTTTTTTTAATGGCTTTATGTAGTGAAAAATCCCAATGAATATATTCAAATCCAGAACTTCAGCTGAAATTCCACTCACTGATAGCTGTTACTTAGGCTACTGTCTTTCTCCATTCCAATACGGTTTGCATTCAGTTCTAACTTGTACCCTAACACTTTGGCATGCCAAGGTCTTATGACGTATTAAAAAAATGTTTACTCTGCTGTCATCAAGTTGATGTCGACTCATGGTGGTCCAAGTGTGAGAGTCGCGCTCTGTGGGGTTTTCCTGGCTGCAGTGTTTACAAAAGCAGACCACCAGCGCCGGTCCATGGTGCCACTGCGTGAATTCAAACCTTCAACCTTTTGGCTTGTAGCAAGCGCAAACCGTTGAGCCACCCAGGGACCTTCTAACCCATAGATTCACGCACACGAAGGAACATGCGCTTTCAATGAAGTAATAAGTGTTATAATAAATCTTAGCTTGCTACTAAAAATATTTTTTAAAGGCTTACTATTTTGTATACTGTTTGTGTATATATACATTTTTTATATCAAGACGGGTAATGTGCTGATGTTGTAACAAGGCTTATGGAAGGTACATGTCACCCCAATACATGAAAACCAAATCACCATGCTTATGAACCAGAAAAGGCTCGAGTTGTATATGCTTTTAAGAAATTATTTCAATGTTGTTTTCATTAGTATTGGTTTACTGAAAGCAGATTTAGTAACACACTACCTTAAAAAAAAAATGTCCTTTTATTATAGCTTTAGAAATAAGAAAAAAATGTCTTATCCAGAACTAACAACTGTTAACATTCTAATACATATGGAAATGCTGTGGTTTTCTAAAACTGTATTATTAATGACATAAAAAGATTTTTTAATGCATACTAAAGAACACTCAAATACTTTAAGCCATTTGTTTTAAGAAATAAAGCACTGTCAATACAGACCTTTTTTTTTTTTTTTAATAGTTTCTCGTATCTACCAGTTGAAAGACCTGGTAGCACTGTCAGGTAAGCACTGGGCTACTAACCACAAGGTCAGTGGTTCAAACCTACCACCATCTCTGCAGGAGAAATATTTACAACCTCAAAAACCTATAGAACCGCTATGAGTTGGAAGAGACTTGATGGTGTAGGCTTGGTTTTGCTTTATCTACAGAGTTAACTCCCCTTCTGCTAGTCTGTTAATTAACATGATCTCATCTCTTACTGCACAATACACATTTGTACTAATCACTATGTTGGTTACTGGTACTTGGTTACCAGTTTCCCAAAGGAAAAAAAAAGTACAAGGAAAACAGGCGCCCATAAATATTAGCAGTGGTAATGGAGACGGACGGAATTGGATGTGCAATGACAGTCGCAGGAAAAACATACACTTCATACTCTACATGCTTCTGTAGATCCTAAAATCTCTATATATTCATACCTTACAGTCCTAATTTAAATACCCAACAGCAAATCCAGTGACATTTTAGAGGTTTTGTAAGTCTTCATTCAGTTGACTCCTAACATATTTGTTGAGGGCCGAATATGTGCCGGGCATAAGAAACACAACATCAAATCAAACAAACTCCTAGGTACATCATTATCTGTCTCAAATAAACTAGTAAAATCTAGAGCATGCCAGAATAGCTTAAGTGAGATAGAGAAAAATAATACCGGGGGTGGGGG